AGCACAATTTCAAAATGTATATCATACATACACATAAATCTTTATGAGAAGGGATAGTTTTCCTATGGCATAAAATCGATTTGGGGTTGGGTGTGAAGGTATATGCGAATGGAAAAAGACATAGATAGGGAGACACACACACACATAGAGAGGGCGAAATAGAAGACATGCCTACCCAAGACAAAGCGACGGTGGTGCTTCTGTAACCCTTGCGGTGTGTTCGTCTAACCACGGTGGTGCTCCAGTAACAGAGAGGAGGGCAGAGACGTGAGGCGTGAGAGAGAAGATAAAATAGAATCGTGGGTTTATTCAATGAATGGATTATGCTTCCATTCCCGACCATCTCAAAATTGTCACTACTTCATTTAGAATCCCTCCAATTTTTGAAATCTTACCTCCAAAAATTAAATTACAATTGCCGTCTAAACGTCAGTCACTAAAAGTAAGAGAAATGCCAACTTTATAAATTAAAAAAAAAAAGTCATTATAAATATGTTAAACTAATTTAATATTTTGTCTTGTTGTATACATAAAATTTATAAATTAATTTTTATATTTATAACATTTTAAATTATTAGTTTAAAAAATTAAGTGTAGTTTTTGAATATATGTTTATCAATTTTGTTTTGTGGATATAAACAACTGATGTTTCAATTTAAAAAATTAAAAAGTAAAAAAAAGATTAGGAAAAATGAACTATTTTAATTACATAAAAAAATATAAATTACGTTTGGAAATTATCCCTACATAATATGCTATTATATACAAATATAGCGGTAACATATTAATTAATATATATGAAAAATTACACTAAGCTTTCATTTTCAATTAATTGAATTACGAATAACAAACTAACAAATAGCAGTAATGGTATAATATGATAGAAAAAGGATAAAAATAAAAAAACATATAATGATATTTAAAAGTTTTAAATTTACCTAGTTATACAAAAATATAATGTTATAGTACAATCTTGAATTCCCAATAAATTTTCATATTTTCTATAAAATGAAATGACAATAAAAAATAAAAAATTCGATACTCATTTTTTAACCTCAATTTCACGGTTTTCATTGATAAAAACAAAATCCGATAAAAATCCTTGACACAGAATGGGCATAGACACTTCAACTGCAACAATCATCAACAATAATTCTTCTCTACTATGTAAACCTATAAACAAGCACATAAATCTCACTAGGGGTTGTTTGAGGTGTCCTAAATAAGTGCACTTTTTGTCTTTTTGGACTAAAAAATTGAGGAGAAAAATATGGATGTTTGGGTTAACTTTTTGACTTTTTATGAAAAATGTGTATTAAAAAATTGTAAAAATTGGTTTGTAAGGGAAAATTAGGATTGTGAATTGTGCAGCCGTAATTGTTGATTTTTGGTGAATAGTGTTAACTTTTTAACTTTTTAACTTTTTCTCAATATCCCATACTTGGCCTAAAATCGAAACCAAAACCAAAACCAAAACCAAACCAACAACAAAGAAAACGAATCACACAGGGGGAAAAAAGTAACAAATAAATAAATTTATAAAATGGTAGGATATTACCCCCCAACAATTTAGACCTTGCCCCGCCTAATCCGTCAGCTCCTTCGCCAGTGCCTACGAAGTCTAGAAGTTTGGATGACTAATCAGATTTTCTTTAAATAAGACTTGAAAATTGAATAATTTCCTATATTAAGTGATTTAAAATTTTGATAGATATTTATTTTTGGTTATGTTATAATATAATATATAAGATATAGATAGATACCCACAATTCTCATGAAAAATATTATCTGATTTTTTAAGGAAGAGAAAAAGGAAGGTAAGTTTTAATATTTTCTTTTGGAAATTGATGAGAGAAATTAGAATGGAGAGATTATGAAATATTTATCTTTCCTTTTGAAATCCATAAATTAAGGGATAATTATTATTTCTAAAATAATTAAATAGTATGGAAGAAATTGAAAAGGGTGTGTATAGGAGAAGTCAAAATGTCTTGGCAGACATCAACAAGTGCTGGGGTTTTTTCTTTTTTTAATCAAAAAATTAGGAAATTAAAATTGAAATATTGGAGCTCCCACAAGGCTTGTGAGTTAAGAGAAATACCGACTAAACTATATTTGATAGCTGATGATTGTTCCTTTGCCGACTCATTTTTCTTTCGTAGCTAAACTGGCTATCTTTGGCAACTAGATTTTTTTTTAGTAGCTAAACTATGTATCTTTGGTGAGTAAATATTTTTAGTCACTGAAAATATATCTTTCGTGACTAATTTTTTGGTCACAAAAGATTAAAAGTAATATTTATGTTAGTTTCTTGGCGACAAAATTTCTTTAGTCGGCAAAAATTAGTACACAACGACTAAATGTTTTTTGGTCACTGAAGATCAATATTTGACTACTAAATTAGGTAGTCATCAAAGATTTTCAGTAAAATTATGGTAGTCATTCGGCGGAGGAGAGCTATTAAGTGGCTGGTGGGGGCAGTGGTGAGAGAAGGGGGGGAGACAAGCAGCGGATATGGAGATAGAGATGGAGACGGAGACGAAGATGGAGACGGAAAGAGACGCTGATGAGAGATAGAGGTGCAGGTTTGTTTAGACTTTGGTTTGGAAACAAAATATATAAATCCCTTCAATTCGCGACTAAACATTTTATTTGCTTATTAATTTTATAAATCCATTTCAAATTTGAAATGTGTCCCCCAAATATTTTAGTTCTTCGGCGAATAAAAATATTTCTAGTCGCTGAGCTATAAATGTTTGGCAACCAACCTTGTTGGTCACCAAAGATAAAAATTAATTTTTTTGTTTTTTATTCGGTAACTAAATAATTTAAGTAGCCAAAACTAACTATACAGTGACCAAAATAATTTTAATGGCTGAAAATGCATTTTTGGAGACCGAACTTTTGGTCGCCAAAGACAATAATTAAATTTTTTTTTCATTCAGCGACTAAATAATTTTAGTAGTCAAAACTAACTATATAACGACTAAAATATTAAGTCGCTGAAAATAAATTTTTGGCTACCAAACCTTTGGTCGCCAAAGATAAAAATAATTATTTTTTTTCATTCAGCGACTAAATAATTTTAGTAGCCAAAACTAACTATACAACGACTAAAATAATTTTTAGTCGCTGAAAATACATTTTTGGCGACCAAACTGTTGGTCGCCAAAGATAAAAATTAAATTTTTTTTGTTCATTCTGCGACTAAATAATTTTAGTTGTCAAAACTAACTATACAACGACTAAAATATTAGTTGGTCACTGAAAATAATTTTTTGGCTACCAAACCTTTGGTTGCCAAATATAAAAATATTTTTTTTATTTTTCATTCAACGACTAAATAATTTTAGCAGTCACAACTAACTATACAGCGACTAAAATAATTTTTAGTCGCTGAAAATACATTTTTTGCAACCAAAAACTAACTATACAGTGACTAAAATATTAGTTGGTTGCTAAAAATAAATTTTTGGCTATCAAACTTTTGGTCGTCAAAGATAAAAAGTAAATTTTGGATTTCATTCGGCAACTAAATAATTTTTGTAGCCAAAAGTAACTATACAGCGACTAAATATTTTTTTTGTGGCCAATTGTGGCATATTTAGCAACTAAAAATTGTTTTTGTCGCCAACTGTGACATTTTTAGCAACTTCATTTTTTTTTAGTTGGCAATAATAAATATAACCCGACTATAAAAAAAAAAGTAACTAAATCTTGTACTTTTGCTAACTAATATAATATTTGGTCGTCAATTCCATAACTTTTGGTGACAAGATTTTTTTTAGTCGCCAAATTTGATCGCCAAAAGTATAATTTCCTATAGTATTCAATGTTACAAATTTTTGTAATATTATGAAGGACATATCATATACATATTTTTAGATATACATATAAACGTATATTTTCATTATGTTTAGGATTGATTTTTTTAATCATTTTTTTATGTTTTTTTTTTCTTTTTTAGTAAATATGTTTTTAATATTTTTCAATTTTTTTTTATACCTTTAACTTCTACCCGATTAGATTGACTAGAAAAATAAAAAAATACAAAATTTTGAAAAAAGAATATCAATTTTTTTTTTTTTTTGACATTTTTTTTTGTCCACAGTGATTTGTTTTCAAAATTTTATTTTAAAACTTTTTTTTTTTTTTTGTTACAAGAAAATCCTTCCTACCCTCCCGCAGGTCCAACGCAGCACCCCTTACAAAGATCACCAAGGTGTCTTATTAGTCGTTCCATACGAGGAGACTATAACCTGGGAACTTGCCCGACCTCTGAAGACAAGCTCCGTTTAAGTCAGGACTCACACAGCGGGGGAGTATTGAACCCACACCAAGTGTTGATTAAACAACTTAGGCCTTGTTTGGTTTGTTTTTCAGAAAAATTTTTAGGAAAAATTCTTTACAAACAAATTTTCAAGAGTAATCAAACCAAACAAATTTTTTCAAAAAAAATATCAAAATTTTGTTTGGTTACCTACTTTCCAAAATCACTCTATCTCTCATACACATCAAATCAATCACTTTTTTAAAAACTCTCTCCCCAAAATAATTTTCCAAAACTATTTCTGAAAAAAAACAAATCAAAAAGTTTTCATACTTTTATCTTAAAAACTACTCTGCAAACACAAATCAAACACACCCTTAAAATCCAATCTCCTAACCAACTGTGTTTCACCCAATAAATTGGCCCAAGAAAAAATTGAACCTGTGACCTGGACTTAATCCTCAGGTATCAACCACAATGCCACCCACCCGGGTTATTTATTTTAAAACTTACTGGATCCTTTTCATCCACCCTGGGTTATTTATTTTAAAACTTACTAGATCCTGTTCATCAAAAAAACAAAAAGTCTCGACTTGTCTGCAAAATGGCTCCTTGACCTTGTACAACTTTTATCCTTTTACACGTTCTCACTTGACTTCTTATGTTTCTCTCTCTCTCTCGCTCGCTCGCTAGACTATATATACTTCTATGCGGGATGAAGATTCTGTACTCATCAACGAAAAAAGAAAACAAAATGGCTTTGATTTCCAAAAAGTCCATGGCTATGCTCTTTCTTGTCGCAACACTACATTTTATTTCACTCTCTTCCTCTACCAAGTTCCAAGCACATGCACGGTAACTTTTCTTCTATTATTAGCATTATTCACGGTACCATTCTTGTTTTCCGTATTTTTTTATTTTTCTTAAATTTTTTTTATATTTTAAACAATTTTTTTTTATTTTTTAGACATACCTAACATAAATATACTTTAAAAGTAAAAAAATTGTGAAAAAAATCTTTTAAAAATTCACTAAATACCAAAAATACAAAAAATATATATATATAAGAATTTAGTACATTTTTTTTATATTTTTATGTATTTATTAATTTTTTAAAATATTTTTTCACAAATTTTTTAATTTTTAAATACATCTAAGTAAGATGCATCTAAGAAAGTAAAAAAATATTTAAAATTTTAAAAATATTCACCAAAAATAAACAAAAAAAAATATGAAAACCAAAAAACTTAATTTTAGAAAAACTTAATCCAAAAAACCCAAACTAAACAAACTGATTATTATTTCATTTTCTTGTTTCTCTTACATATATAAATGAAGCTATACAAAATTTATTTAAAATATAACAAAATATATATTTGTAATTTGTTTGCAATTTGCAGTGGGCGACAATTGCTTTCTATCCAAGGGATAATTGAATCCGCAGATTTATTCAAATGGTTGGCGGGAAAAGTTGCCGAGTGGGCGATGAATCAATTGCCTAAAATGACGGATAATCCTAACGCCAAAGACTTTCTATACAATATGCGAGACGGTTATAAAGCCGGTAAGAAGTTCCATGATTTTATAACTAAAATGGAGAGCATAGGAAACGAAACGTGTGGAGGTCCCTATTGTGCGTTCGATGAATTTCAAACCGAAATGCTCCAGGCAGCTAAGAACCAGTGTGGAGTTACCTTCTGTGTGTACGACCAACAATGCAAACCGTGCCCCCAAAATTCGCAGCAGCCATTACAGGGGTGTGATCCCTACTGTGTGCTCTTGCAACCGTCCGATAATAATACTAATAACTTGCAATGTCAGAAACCGTGCGGGCCGACACAGATTAACGATGCTGGTGCTGGTGCTCATGGGTTTGGTGGCTTCACGGTGGTTGGCCTGCTGGTGTTGCTCCTTGCAATCCGGGCTTATTAAGTGGGTCTTTGTAATGTTGTCAAAAAAATAATATTCACTGGATTTAATTTTTTAGAAATTCAGTTTTTTATTTTTGCATGCTGGTGGTGTTATTGGTGGTGTTGGTGTCGGTGCTCAAGGGTTTGGTGGCTTCAGGGTGGTTGGCCTGCTGGTTGTGCCCCTTGCAATCACGGCTTATTTAGTGAGTGTTTGGAATATTGTTAAAAAAAAAATAATATTCATTGTGTTTGAATTTAATTTTCTAAGAATTGAGTTTTTTATTTTTATTGAATATTTTTAAAATTTTAAGTTTTTTTTTTTTTACTTTTTTAGATGTAATTTATCTAAATGTATCTAAAATGTAAAATATTTATATAAGAAAAATTAAAAATTAATAAATACATAAGAATATGACAATATATTGAATTTTTTGTATTTTATTTGTATTTTTGGTATTTAGTGATTTTTTCGCAAATATTATAATTTTTAAGTGTATTTATGTTAGGCGTATTTAAAAATTAAAAAAAATGCTTAAAATATTAAAAAAAATCAATGAAAACAAAAAAGTACAAAAAATAAAAAAAAATTTAATTTTCTGAAAAGTAAAACCAAATGTTTCTGAATTTCTTTGTTTTTAGTATTTTTTTTCAAAATTATATCAATTTATTTTTATTTTTTGGTTCATTTTATCGAGACAAATTTAAAAGGTAAAAAAATTAAAAAATTTCCTAAAGAAATATAAATGTGTGGGTGATTTTCTGACCACACTGCCCGCTTAGTAATCAACTGGAGAGCACTGGCAGAATAGATGGCTTCAGCTAACCTGTAACAGAAAGAAAAGACTCCGGCGGTGGTTCTTCCACCCGGGGGCACTCCGACGATCAAGTTAGTATATCTCTCAAAGATAATCAAGTGCTAAAACTTATTGCTCAAAACATAAATTGCGTACCATAGACCCACGGGGATGCCTCTCTTTTATAGTTAACTCAATCTAAGTCCCACTAGAAGCATGACTTCTATGGACTCCAATTCTGTGCTTACTTGGATTCTTCAAGAGATACAGATAGAGATAAACTCCCTAAGAGCTCTATCCTTATCTTGGCTAAATCTCTTCTTTGTCCTAGGACTCTTGTCCCTTATCCGTTTATCTCGGATTCTGATATCTTCGGAGATAACCTCGGTAATTCGGAACAACCTCGGCGTAACTACCACGACACGTGGCACCTCGGCTGACACGTCGGCGTCACCATGCCACGTGTTGGTACTCAAAAAATATATCCCCACAACAGCCCCCTAGGTTCTATTACCTCGGCATCCTGAGGTGATGGAACCTATATCGTTCATGTCAGCTATCTTGCTATATCATAAATTTACCGAGGTCATAATACACCGGCTCCTCACAACCAGGTCCTGTAGTCTGTCTTATCAAGGCTTTAGAATTTTTAACCAAGTTTATTCGAGTTTATTTAGCCGAGATTTTCCTATGAGCCGATGTTATTGCTTCATTAAACCGAGAACTTCAAGAGTTTTTCCTCCGTCTGCGCCGTCTGACGCACGCGTTCCTCTAGGCGCAATAAATGCCGTGTTTTGCCGCCGTTTCAAGTTTTTTACAAAACTTTACATCCCTTGTCTTCGTCTCTTCACTTTTGTATTTGATTTACTTGCTTTCTCTCTCTCTTAAACTTTCTCAAATCCGCCATTGTTCTAGCGCCAAGCTCTACAATTGTCTTCATTCTTTTATTCAAGCGAAGCTTTCGCCGTTCCGTTGTGTCTGCAACCGTTGCCTTACCTCGGCGACTTTCATTCCGGTCTTCATTTGTTTTGGTAAGCCTCTGCTCCTCTTATTCCCAATTTCCTCTTGTGCTTTCGTTTATTTACTGCCATTATTGCTTTGTTCAAACCTTTGATTTGCTGAACTATTCATCTAAATGTGTCTGTTTCCACGATTTTGCTCATATCTTGAACACTTGCACTATTTCAACACTTTTCTTGCCACTGTTCTTGACCTTTTACTTCTGTATTTCTTTCGCTTTTGAGAACCATACCTCTGTTTTTTTATTCTGAAACGCCATTCTTTGTTTCTTGTTTTCTGTTTTTCCTTTCCAGATCTGTGCCTTTGACCTTCATCTTCATAGTTCTTAGGCTTGGGATTTGTTTGTAGAATCTTTAATTTAGGGAAAACTGAAACAAGCCGTACCAATACTTACCCAGGTTTTTGCCGAGGTTCCAATAACCTTTTAAGAATACCTTCTTTCTGAGACCTAGCCCTCTGACTTTAGGCCGACGTTATAGGCATGTGGAGACACAGGGTAAATACCCCAACAAAACTCGAATACTTTAGGCAGGAGTTCTCCATCCCTGCCGATGTCCACCTAAGACTGGCTGGGGATAATGACTCCATTATGCCTACAGACAATACGATGCCTTTTCGTATTATAGCCTTTACTGAATGTGGACTCCGGCTTCCACTTAATCCCCTTTTTCGCGAAGTTCTCCATTACTATAGGTTGAACCCCATGCAACTTACCATCAACTCCTATTGAGTGATTAATGGTATCATAACCCTTGCTAGGCAGGAGAACGTTAGGATCACCCTTGCCGATATACAGTATTGTTACACCATGTGCTCCCTTAACCTGAAGGAAAAAGGTTACGTCTACTACCTCAAGCCGAGGTCCACTGAATTCAAAATCGTAGCCGACCTTCCAGACTCCAACAAGGGGGCTGGAGATGATTATGTTATCGCTTCGGGAAATTGGGAGTTTGGTGAAGATGAGGACGCCCATCTCTACCCTCTTCCCCGATCAATTAAAGAGGGCAAGGGTAAGAGTTCAGTGTCAATACTTAGTTGTTTCTATTCAAGTCTTTAATACTTTCTGCTTCTGATGTCTGTTTGTTTGTCCTGCAGACCTTCATCAGCCACCGAAAAGCTTCCGACAATCCTACTTTCCAGGCGAAGGTTTAAAGAAACTCCTAGATCTTCCAATCCAAAAACGCAAAGCCCCCTCTGGTATTAAACTTTATCCCGATGTACAAATCCACTATGCCCGACGTCCCGAAGAAGAAGAAGAAGAGTCTTTCTCTACCTTCTGCCACAACTCTTCCAACTGTTTCCACATCACGAGCAGACCAAGGATCCACTTCTGACCTAGCTGATCTGCCATCTACTTCAGCCCCATACTTAATCCCAATACCAGAAAGAAAACGTCGCCGACGTCTTGTTCTAGCAGCCGAGATGGGTCGCGCAAAGCCAGTTGCCCAAGATCTCCTAGCTGACCTCCCAACTGATACTGATGCTGAACCAACCCAATCTATGCCCCCACCAAAGCCAAAAAGAATCAAAAAGGCTCAGCCCAAGGCCAAAGCTATTGAGGTTGAGGCTGAGGATGCTCTGTCCATCTCACAACTGGCTGAGACTAAAAAAACTGCTTCTACTTCTGCAAAAAGGTCTGCTGAGGCCCAGCCATCAGAGTCTACCTAATCAAAGAAGCCGAGGTCATCGTCTGCGACGACCTCGGGTTCCAGAATACCAAAAGTTCCTTGGAGACCAGAGATTACTCTAGAAAATAAGCCAGTCCTAGCCAGCGACAGTGCCGATGACATAAACGTCAGCGTGGCCCTTAGTACTGCTCTACTCCTCCCAGGCGATCTTGAGCGGAATGCCAAGATGAGTGAGTATGAGAACTACGCCTTTATGCTGCAACACTCTGTCCAAGTATGTGCCTTTGTGTTGAAATTTGTTTTCTCTCTTACTTTGTAAAATTTTGTAACAATTTGTGCCTTGTGTTCTTTCAGGCCATCCAACATGCCCACTCCCTTTTCATGCAAGCTTTTGAAACACGGGAGAGGTTGGCCGACATGAAGAGAGAGGTTTCTGCCCTTAAAAATGAGAGCAAAACTCTTCAATCGAAAATAAAAAAACTGGAGGACCAAGCTGAAGCCGCCACCAGAGCCCAAAGTCTAGCCGAGGAAAAAACTGAATCCGCCGAGGCCATAAAGAAAGTTGCTGAGGCCGAGAAGAGAAAGGTTGAGGTCAAAAAGGCCCAGGCTGAGAAGGAGCTTCAGAAGGCTCTGGCCACCAAAGAAGCCGAAATCAAAGAAGCTGGTGAGAAGGCTTACGCCTAGGGCATGGCCGACGTCACTGAGGAATACAAGCGTCAAGTCAGACAGGCATGCAACAGGGCTTCTCCCTTGGTTGGATGGCCCTTGCCAAGAAACTTAACATTCCTGACGATTCGCCACTGCGCAAAGCTGACGCTATTCCTCTGTCGTTCCCCCCACCTCCTCCATCAAGTCAACCTGAAGGAGAGTCTGAATCTGAGTCTGAAGGTGAGGAGGACGGTGAGGATGAGGCTTTAGTAAGGAAGTCCAAGGAGGCTGGTGAGATCAAGTCCCCTCCTCAGGATGATCAAGTCCTAGACTTGACTCATGAGGAGGATGAGGAGGTTATCAAGGAGACCACTCCTGAGCAAGCGTCATCCGATGTTCCTCCAGTCGGCAAGAGCGTTGATAAAACTCTTGCTGAGATCGATGCCGAGATTGTTGCAGATAAGGAAGCCGAGGTATCTCTTCAGGAGACTTCTGAGGTTCAGATCCAGCCAGTTACTGATGCTGAAAAGTCTTAATTTTCATATCTTTTCTTTTGTACCCTTGTACTTTGTTTTGTTTTCTGAACAATGTAAACTTCCTTTTATGGCCGATGTGCCTTCTTTTGTATATAACTGCAACTGTTTTTCTATGGATGCTTTAATCTTTTAATTTCTCTTGATTTGCTTCTGCATGGTTCTATACTTAGAATATTTTGCATGCCTTCCATATTTTGCCACCTTTGTGCAATCTTCTCGGGGATACATATCTCGGGTATAATAACTACAAGCTTTACTTCGGTAAGATACTGTCTTGCAATCTTTTCATAAATTTCAACAAGTGTAAAACATATACTATTCAACGTTAACTTTGCAAATTTCTTCTCAAGTTTCAACAAGTGTTTAAACAGTGATTTCAGTCTAACCTACTTGTAAATTGCTATAAATTTCAACAAGTGTTAACATATACTGTAAACTTTTCTCAAGTTATAACAAGTGTTTAAGCAATGATCTACTTGTAAATTGCTACAAATTTCAACAAGTGTTTAAATAATATACTTAGCTTTTTACTCAACCTGTAAACCGTTGCAAATTTCAACAGATGATGACATGTCGGCTTAA